GGCTCTCCAGAGATCATCCATCAATGCGACCAAAGCGGTTTCTGTGCTGTAACCGGGCCTGAAGCCTGACTGGAAGGGGTCTAGATAAATTATCTAGATAGATAATTTAATATTGATTTATAGTCTCCTTTTTCTGAAAAGCCTACCAGGCAATTGATGCATATGGCTTTCCTTCCACTATCCCTGTTCCTGCTGTCAATCTGATCCCCCACTCCCCTCCGCTATCCCAATTTAGAGTGGCATAGGCTGCTGTACAGTAGGATTTAACTTATGTTCATGCAGAATTAGTATTCTTAAGGTATTTCATCATTTCTTTCTTGGTTCCTTGTAACTCAAATGGCAGATTGGAATTATGGAATCAGAGTTATGGGCTATAATGTCAAAGCAGGGAAATGTCTATGGATAATTATATAAATCCCATCCAGTCGGGCACCTCATTCCCCACTAATAAACTGTTCCATAATTGTAAATTGTAAAATCCACAAGGCATACTGTAAAAAGCTGCTGCCTGCAGGTAAATTAAAGGTCATTGCACATTTCACAGTATTTGTATATAACTATGTTTTAAAAAGTACAGAGCTACATATAATAGTATGCATATAATCAATGATGTAAAATTAGCTCATTTCATTAGCATTCATGAGTAACGAAATAATTTCAAAGTTTCTAGATATGACTGGAAGCATAAATAGAACAAATCTTTTAAAGCCTTTCTCCATTGCTGAGTTGATTATCCATCTGTCCTTGAGTTGGCAGGAATCTACACTGCATGAAATTCGCTGTCCCTATTGCCAATCTCTGTCCTGACCATGATTTCTAGCCATATATACTCATCTGAAACTCTGAACAAAGCATGTGTAATAAAATGAGTGTTTAAAAAAAAGATAAGGGTAATTTTTCTTTTCTTCTGTATGAAATAGATACAGGGTCATTTTCATTGCTGCAAGATCTAGAGGAACCCAGGGAAGGGCAGTGATTTTCATTCATTTTTCTCCTCATTGATCATAAATGTAATCATAAATGAAGACAATCTTGGATTATTGTCACCTTTAAACTGCTTCTGAAAGTTTAGGGTAGAGAAGTGCAATGTGTTTGCCCCTCTTTTCAGGAAGCATATCTCTTACTCTTTGCACTTATACATACATTTCACTGTGGGAAAGCAGAACTTCACCAGAATTTTAGATTTGATTAACTGGATACCCGTGCTTTGCAATGAAACTATGGGATCGGGCAATGCAGGAGAAATCCAGTTCAATCCATTGGCTCAGTGGTGGACGGTAATTGAAACACATAAGGGAATATCACTCCTGCCACCTTGAGCCCGGAAGCAGTTCCATATGTGGAAGGCATAGACTTTTTGGCGAGGTACCAATGTTTAGTATTGTAAGGAACCCCAGACCACTCCTGAGTGAAGGTGTGGAACGTCTGCCAGTTTGAACTGAGGTAACAGAATGTGAGGCAACTGGTAGTTGGACTAGAGTTCTTTTCAGGTGGGGAGGGGGAGTAGAATGTCTAGCTCCTTAGCATCAGAGGGTGTTAATATAAGGCAACTAGCAGTTGGAACAGAGTTCTTTTCAGGTGGGGAGGGGGAGTAGAATTCCTTAGCATCAGAGTATGTTAATTACTGTATACGAATTACTAATATTCTGATGGTCATTTCAAAAAAATCCTTTCTTAGCGAGCACATAGAAGCCAAGGGGAACATACAAGCCAAATGTCAAGTTTGTAGGCTTTATGATTCTGGAGATTTCGTGATGAGTGAGTGATACTTGGCTTTTATATATATATATAGATTCAGACTGATTGTATTGGAAGCTGAGGAACAGAATGCAAAGAGGGGGGGTTCTCTGTGGAAAGCAGAGGGA